ACTAACTATCTGCTAAAACTCGGTTGATTCTAAACTGTGGTGGGGTTAGGGTTAGGACCAGGGTGAGGGTTAGGATTAGGTTTGGGGTTAAGGTTAGGGTTAGGATTAGAGACAGGTTTAGAGTTAAAGAAGATTATGGTCCATTTAGTAGATATGTAGTTAAATGTAACTTGAAAAGTATCTTCAAAGCATCTAAAGTGGACTATCCAAATAAAGTGTTACCAGATTTTATTCCAGCTAATTTTGGACACTTTCCATTGGTTCATTCATGGACAGGGCCATAGTAGCTCACCCCGGCTGGACAGCGCACCGGCCTGCAGAGAAGCTCTCAGCTCTCCCTAAAGTTTTCAAGGAGGTCAAGTCAGCATCTGTAACATTGTAAGCATGTAAAATGCACACAAATTTGCTTTGCAGTGACCAACAATTAGGTGACCGCTACACGATCAGCTTTGACGTTGCCTACGTGTGCCATAACTCCAGCTTCATGGCCAGCTTTTTGCTTGCTTTCTGAGGTGTATTTGTCATAAATGCAGCCAAGCCTGTTTGAGGCTACTTGCTATGATAGAAGTCCATGTGTTGACTGCGTGCATGCGTGTGCTTGCATGCATGTGTTTGTGTATGTGCGCTGAGAGGGCAAGTGTAGGCGAGAGAGAGAGGGAGAGCAAGCGAGGGAAAGGGAGAGAGAGAGAGAGAGAGAGAGAGAGAGAGAGAGCGGGGTGGCAGGAGTGTAAATGGAATTTGTGCAGCAAACAGCTGGACGGGTTTATTTAAACACAAGCAGGGCTGAGAGACTGACCCCAGTTTGACTCAAAGGGGGGGAGGAGCAGCCGTAGAGTGTTTTATGACTTTGAGTCTCAGATTAGAATAAAAGGAGTGATGCTCTTATTTCTCCAATCTGCCTGCAGGCATGCCAACATGTGACTGAAGACTAGAGTAACTAATTACTTAAGTAAATGGATCTCTGGTTGAGACGTGGATAATAAAGTTGGCTTCACCAGAGGGGTGTGATGTGGGGGAGGTGCATGTGTCCGTATATGTGGAGTACAATTGTGCTCAATTGTGCCAATGATCTCTCAACACTGCTCCCTAATTAGAATGTCTCCACCCTCGTGTCACCGAAAGATCAACCTGATGATAATTGCATTACGTATGCAAACTGTATCCTTTGTTTTGTCATGATTTTTTCTATATTGTTTTTTATTTTTAGGTTATTGTTGTTGTTGTGGCATGTATAGGAGATTCATCATTCCTCTTCTTTGCCGGCATAACTGATGTGCCCTTGTGTGGAATTTTAATATACATGTAAATGTAGCTGAGTGGGTTGAAATGTGATTTCATGAGTGAATTTAGTCGTCTGTAGTCATGCATACGCACACTGCGCTCAGGTTAGGTTGTGTGTGTGTGAGAGAGAGAGAGAGAGAGAGAGAGAGAAGAGAGCACAGCGAGGCGAGTAAAGAAGGCTTGCTGAGGAAAATGGCCTACTTCATATGCATTTAGATAGACACGCCGCGATGTAACCTTTTGTATCTCCAATCTGGATCTTTCCAGCAACGGTTATTAAATTATCCCCTAATTGGTCACGCAACAAAGGCAGCTGATGAAAAAGACAATTTCTTGCTTTTAATTGGCCATTTCACGTGCCGTTTGGGCTACACCTGGGCGTTTGTAATGAGAATGGGATATTATGAGGGCCCCGGCAGACGAGACAGCAATCAGTTCCACTCTCTCCGTGAAAGAGTAAAGGGAGCAACGGAAAAAGTATGAACAAACACTCACTTTTGGAGAAGCGGTTCAGTTGGAGGGGGCAGGGAGAAAAGGCTGGGCTTCTTTCGTGCCTCATTTGACTCATAAGTGGCTTTAATTCAGTCATTTTTTCTAAGCTCTGTCTTTTTTTTTTCACCCTCTACTCCTTTCACCCGACTTCAGAGGTGCCACCGGTGGCGTTTTGCTCCAAAATAGGCCCCCATTGTCCACAGCCCGGGCTGAATAGCGGCCTTCATTGTGTGCCGATGGGAAGTTGAAACTGAACAGGCCGTAAACGCGGCCCTATGGCGCGGCGGGGTCGCGCGGAGGTGAACTTTTTACTCCTAATGGAGTAATGGCGGCTCTAGCGCACCGGCTGTCTCTCTCTCGGCCCCCTTTTTTAACCGTCCGCCTCGCGCAAAGAGCAGAGCATGACTATTCTTTCTCTTCACAACTCATACAGACCCCCCCCCCACCCCCAACTTCCCTCCTTTCCCTTACCCGCCCTCGTTCCCTTGCTCTCTCTCTCCTTCCCTCCCTCCCTCCCCCTGCCTGGTATTGTGTAGCACTTGTCCTTTGTTCCAGTCTTCTGGAGCATCTGGCCTTAGATATGGCAAGGCTGGGAGAGGAAGCTTTAGATACCTTTTAAAAATAAAATACTCCCAAGAAAAATGAACAGCAGAAGCCAAGTGAGGGAAAATGGACAGAGAAAGACAGAAAGCGAGGGAGGGAGGGAGAAGCAAGGAAGACGTGAACGACAGAGGTCAGCGGATAGACAGTGGTGACCCGCTTCTGACCCCGGAGCCAGAGATGGAGGCCGAGAGGAGAAGGCAATAAAAGGAATGCCTAGGCCACGACTCCCCCTGCTCTGCACTGCTGCTGCTGACGATAAAACTCCAGACATTCCCTCATTTGATGGTGCACTGCCATGTTGCTACATTCCTCCTCTGCTCCCTTTTTCATAGGTTTTAAGACGATGTTTGATGTCGGCGAGCGATACCAGTGATAACTGTAAAAAACAGACGACTCTTAAGTCATGCAGGCTACACTCTCAGCGAAAAATGATTCTAAAGTATCAAAAAAAGGCTCGATCAATCGGTTCCTCATCCTGGAGATTTTATAAACTATTATAAATCAGGGGTGCAAATTTGGTCTGACAAAATGGGGGAGAGTCAGCAATTTAAATGTAAAAATGAGCAAACACAGTAGGCCTACCTTCATATTGATATCTCATACTTTATATGACAGTATTACACAAAAGAAAACAATATTTGGAATAATATACATATTCAGTATAGAGATTCAATTTTGTTACCAATTATAACTGTATTTTTTCCTATCAAAATACCCAGTAATGACCATTAAAGGGGAACTACACCTGTTTTTTTTTAAATTCTACATAAATGCTTCAGATGTAAGTTCAAGAGAAGCTTACCGAGTCAGAATTGTTCACAGTGGTGGTGATAGGAAACAGACGTCTGAAGATTTTACAGCCTCTAAAAATTCCCTCACAGGAAGTTATTACATGAAATGGTTAGATAAATGCTGCTTGATGCCTTAAATAGTTTTAAAATGATAAAGTTTTGGCTTAAAATATATTTCAACTCATTTATTTTCATCCATTTATGGGGGAGAGGTGCATGAAGGGTGTTCTGAGGCAAAATAGTCCCCAAAGAAAACATTTTTTCAGATTTACCAGTTTTACCATCATCAATATTACGTGTAAAAACTCAAAAAGCACATGTAGCTTCACTGGTGCTTTTGGATAGTAAATGGCTGTATTTGGGTTGTAGACATTGTGACCCCTGGTTCCTATCACCACCACTGAAAATCGGAGAAATCTAAAATCTGAATCTGTAAGTTTTTCTACAATGAACATTTTATATCAAACCACTCTGAAAGACTTTGTTTACATCTCCTTACATCTACTTTTTCATTTTTTTTAATGTGCTATAAATAAAAAAAAATAAAATTGTATTAATACTATACATTGCAGAAAGTAATAACTAACTATCCTAACTTTGTGGAGGCAACTGCAGCATAACTAGAATGGCACAGTGAACACCCAAAATGATCATGGTTTTTATGGTTCTATATGTAATCACTGCCTTCACTAAAGAAGCCTTGAATAACTCATATGTAGCGCATTGGATTTAAAGGAACCAGAGGTGTTCTAGTGAAGAGATCCTAGCAGATGAGCACACAAATTGCTCTTTGATTGTAAATTCTTTTAACTCTTCTTCTTCTATAAGTTCTTCTTCTGTTTCTCTTCTTCTCCACCCCTCGTGCTGCTGAAAAGAGTGGCCTAGCTATTGTTTCCTTAAAAGTCTACTAATTCCCCCTCAAAGGATGAAATGGAAGTGTCCAACTGTGGCAACAGCAGGGGGACATAAATCAAGTAGGAACCCCTGAGCTTGCTCTCCTGGAGGTCACAGGGGTCAGGGGGTCAACTCAGAGGGTTTAAGTTGAGTAGGGCGGTAGTGGCGATGGGCACTGGAGTGCCGAGGCTGGGTGGTAACCATAGGGTGCCAGACACTATTTTTTGTTGTTGTTGTTGTTGTTTTTTTCTCACGAAACTTACACTTGGCAGAAATACAGGGAAAGCAAGGCAGGCCCAGTCCAAATCCCTGCAGTGAACCTACATTTCTGCCTTGTTCGTGAAGAAGCGAAAAAGAAAGAATCTGCCTTATGTTTGCTCTTTAATGATGTGACATTCTTCTGCCAGAACATTTCCCACATATACTCACACACTGTCACACATGCCAACTATGTTATACAACCTGACGCCTGAACACATGAACCAGTTTCACTGTAAAGTAATGACAGAAAGTGGAAGAAGGAAAAAACAACATATCTCTGAAACATGCCGAGAGAGAGTGAGAGAAAAGTGCCATTTGGTGGATTAGCTGTGTTTGCTTTTCTGAGGTGGCGTATGTTGAAGCCGTACAAGTTTGTACAAGCCGCTAAGCTTTGTGAGTTCAGTATACGTTTCTCTGTTGGTGGTGATTTCACCGTGACACTCCCTTCTCTCCAACCCGGGGACTTAAAGGAAAAGGAAAATAATCCCTCCTTCTTTACCTTCCCCGATTAGCTGCCCGGGCTGGTCTGGACAGTTTTAGGCTGGGCTTTTGACAGTGTGTTTGTGAGTGTCATTAGCGCACACTAAATTTGCAGACCCCGTCTACAGCCTGCACTATGCTAGCCATACTTTTCGCTGAACTAACCGTGTGCTGTACTTTTCTTTTTGTCTCTTCCAGGTTCATTAATGCGAGAAGGAGAATAGTGCAGCCAATGATCGACCAGTCCAACCGAGCAGGCAAGTCCCCTATAGTAACTGTGTTCAAGTCACGCAGGCGAAAGCCCTCCTTCAGCCATGCACCCGGAGGCTCGCCCGTCGGTAAATACACTGCCCAGCCTGGATGTCAGGAGTGATTGAACACTAAAATCCATCCAATTAACCCAAAGCACTAATCATGCTGACTCAGGCCACCATGTAACGCCCTTAAAAGAAAAAGGAAAGAAGCAAATAGATGCAATCGATTAAACTATTGAAACCGTAACGACGGCTGAGATGTCAGATTCTAAAATACTGCTTCTCTGCCTGGATCTAAAACTGGTTTGAGTCAAACGAAAGAAAATAAAATCTCCAAGAAGGATGATATTAATAATTTTTGGTGAATTTGTTTTGCTTCACCCCCGTTTTACCATGAGTGATCCCCCTGGTGCATGGCTTGTTGTGGACTGTTTATTACCTGTGGAAGTTTATTACCTGTAATGGGGTTCAGAGGGCAGAGTTGCATTAGGGGACAGTTCAAAGGCATTCACTAAGGCTCAGCTGTTGTTTTTGATTGAAAACTGCCCTGTCCAGGGCCCTAAACACAGCATATACTTATGGTAAGTACAGTCATTAGTTCACAAGGAAAACAAATGGAGTTTCTAGCTTATCTTATGGTTTTTAAGAAGTCTAAACCAGTTATCAGTAAAACTAAATGCGTTGTTAAGTTGATTCAGAAAGCTATACAGCTTCTTAAACGTCATCTGTCAGATTTCTGGAGAGATTCTGTCCATTCTTAGTTCTGTAAGTTTGATTTGATATGTATGAAGCGTAATCGCCTAAGACGGTGAGAGAGCTAAGAAGCATTAGTCCACGCGTCCGTTACCAGATGATGTTAAGCGATGGAAACTTAATTAAAAGCACTAATTGACCACTGTCCTGTGCCCTCCCCCGTCCTCCCGCAGTAAGTCAAGGAGCTCCCTACAACCCAGATGGTCAGCCCATGGGAGGCTTCGTGATGGACGGCCAGCAGCACATGGGAATCAGACCACCTGGTAAGACCTTGGCGTGTCTCCTTCTCCTCCGCCATCTCCCACCTTCCCACCAAACCCCCCCTCTCCTGCCTTACTACTGCCAAACTCCCCAGTCTGGCCAGGAGAGGCCAGCCTCTCACAGTGGCACAGGTGTAGCCCATCTCATTACACCCCTTTCTCTCTCTTTCCCCCCTTTCCTAAGCCTTGTCGCTCAGCCGCTACCTTCTCAAGTGTCTCATCCCCTTTTCCCAGAATTTCCCTCCCTTCCGTGTCCCTAAGCCTCTTCTGCACCCCCTCCCACTCTGTGTTCCTGGTCATCGTCTCTGGCTCTAACTCTCACCCCCCCTCCCCCTGCCCACTCCTCTCCTCCTCCTCCTCTCTTAAGCTATAGGATTTGCCCAAAGCCAGACTACTTTCCAACTTAGCCATTGATCTTATTGTTGACTTTGGTTTGCTTATTTTGTCTCTCTTTTACTGTTTAGTTTTCTGTTTCCTCTTGGTAAATGTGGGAATTGTACTTTTGATTCCTGTCCTGCTGTCCTGTCTGAGTCTCGGTCTGATTTTCTCATCTTCTGGCATTCTTCTCCGATTGTTTTCTCTCCTTCCAGGGCCTATGAGTGGGATGGGCATGAATATGGGCATGGAGGGACAGTGGCACTACATGTAACCTTCTAGTTAACCAATCGCAAAGCAATGGGGGAAGTAAGTACAAAAACGGGGCCTCAAAACATTTTTTAACATCTATCCTGTTCCACAGTGGGGGAAACACATACATTCATTCATTTTGTGTCAGTGCTTTAACAAGCTCCAATACTAACAATACTGGTGTTTCTACTGGTGTAATTAAAACATTAAAAGTCTGCTTGAAAGTCTGTCACTGCTGATAAGACTCTGATCAAGCCTGTGTGTAAGTGTCTGTGTACAACTGTAGGCTTTACTATCTTTCACTCTTGCTCGTTTTATTGGCCACATGAATAAACAGTGCATAGAAATCGCACTGGAGGGGAAAAATGGGAAAAGAGGAAAGAGAGAGAGGCGGGAGGGAGGACTGGTTCAGGGAATGGCGAGTTGAGGGTGGGGGGATTGAGGTTGAGGTTTTGGACGAAGGCGGGGGGGTGGGGGCTGGTGGGACGTTACCATAGCAACAGACTGATTGGCAAAAATGTAAGCAGGCTGCAGCAGTGCAGCGAGAGGAAAGTGCATGTCCCCAACGTGTCATAAATCTGTCTCTCTGCAGTTGATGCATGAGTTCCGTTAATACGCTAACCTGTACGGCAGCTCACCGACATGCACTCGCGAGCCCCTCGGCCAAAACCCGCCACCAGATCTTTCGAAATCATGAAAGCGTTCTTAGCACGGGTCGTTGGAAGGTGGAGGTGTTTCCATCGATCCTGACTCGGTCTACCGTTTTCCTGTCTGCCCGTCCTAATAGGATTACCTATGGCGAAGGGAGGGGAAGTGAAGGAGTGCAAAATGGAGGTGTGCTCAGCAGGGTACGCAGCTTAGCCCGGCCTAATTGACTATATCCAAATTAAATATGCCATCACAAGCACTGTGACAAATGGATTTGACTTATTCAGTATGCGAAAATAGAGACCATTAATGCAGCCATGCACAGAATGCTCCTGTTGTCCAAAATATTCCCGCTTCTCAGATTCTACTGTTCGGAACCAAGAGAAACATTATGATAATGCAGCCCTTGCTATTTAAAGGCTCCCATCCATCTCGGCTTGTTGTCATTGTGAGCGTATGTGTGAGACAGTATGTGTGTGTGGAGAGTGTTTCCTCGTGTCCAAACGCTGGCGTTCCAGCAGCTGCCATAGTTCCCAGAAGACTGGCGAGCAACCTGCTTTAAACAGCCTCAATTTGCTTGCTGAATTCTGTAATTGGGCCGTGTGTGGAATCTCAGATGAGATGGGTTGAAGGGAGAGAGAGAGAGAAAGAGAGACACAATATGGGAAGAGAAGCAGAGTGTGACAGAAATATGTCGCGGTGGTTGAGAATGCCTGGTCTTTATGGCTTCATCACTGAAATTTCCTAGCTTGTCTAATTTAAATATTGTTACTTTAGTTTCTAGGTCAATTAAATGTAAGTGATGTGTTTTATTCTTCATGACCAATTAAATTAATAGGTTATTACAAAAAAAAAGGTTATCTTATTTGATTAAGAGACCAAGGGTTCATTATTTTTATAAGCAATTTTCATTAGTTGGGGAATTTTCCTTAAGGCAAGATTAAGCAGTTATTTGCCAGGGAGTCCCAAGACCTGAAATTAAGGTGTTCCTAGCAGTCACACTGCAACATTACTTAAAACCAAAGCCAATTAAACCGACTTAGTGAGAGCGTTATGCTTTCTACCCATGATTATAGAGCTTATGGGTCTTGGAAACAATACACCTGTCAGTGCAGATCCAGCCTGGGTACTCAAGCAGAACAGAGAGGGGGAGTCTTTGATAGCTGAAGGAACCACTGTTTTATGTCCATTCCCCCTTAAACTGTCCTTTGTGGTCCTTCAATGAAATTAGCCGAGGGTGGCCCATATTTGGAAATTATATTTTCGAGACAATGGTGATCAGAGGAAGCATTAATTATGGGCACGTAGACAAAAAATGTTAAATTCCCCTTCCCCCACCCAGCTCCAGATGCCGCTGGTATGCTTTGGTGAGCTCGCTTGGTAACCCTGACTCTGCTGGAGATCCCTTTGTCTGCGATTTCATTCCTCCCAATTATTAAGCCGAAGTTTGTTAACCTTCCACAGGGTCAAGATTCCCCCCGTCCATCCTTCACTGGCCTGAACTTTTACTTTTAAGTAATGAAAACAAAAAAGCAGCAAGGTCTTTGTGGATTTGGCTCCCGCATGTTACACACAAATACCCCCAGCTGATTCAGTCCCGTGGCGCTTCAGAAAATGGACCAGACTCAATGTATTGATTGGCTTATTAAGAGAAAAAAAAAGTGCAATTTGCAGCATGTGCCCTTTTCTCGACCCAAGCCATTGCTTTCTTTCTAAGAAACTGGATGTTTTCCATCCACGTGATTCACAATTCACAAAACAGTGTGTTTAAAGATTGGATTCAAATTCAACTGATGACCCCAAAAAAAGCCTGGGTCGTCCCTGTAAGTGCTAAATAGCTCTGCTCAACACATACGCGTACAGACGAGGGAAAATACATGGCTGTCCAAAAGCTGTTAAGTGAGCAGCCCTGGTTAATGAGATGACTTGGCTCTCCAGTGTATGGGCTGTGGGTTTTGCGTGGCTGCTATGGGTCCAGTGGCCTTTATGCTAGCGGCACACTCACGCACGCCCAGGTGAGGCCTCTCAGGTGACACCCTTTGTCAATTTTCACCTTTCTTCTTTAATTTGAGCACAATAGCTCTGTTTCTCTGTGGCAGTTTCGGCATGAGCCGCAGACCTTTGCCTATTGTGTTTAAAGAGAGATAAGTGGAGGCGGTGCAGGGCATAAAGGGATGGCTTATTTTACCTCATTTGTCATTGTTATGAACTCTTCTGGCGAAAGCTTGATGTTTGAAGACTTGGCTCGCACTTCAGACAAACAGCAACGTGTTAATGTGAGTTCCTATGAAGCTTGGTGTAGCGTGAAACCTGAAGGACCCTCATCTTTTTTGTTTACAATTTCTTACTCTGCTTTGCTGCTGTGCCATCGCCTCATACAGGGATTATTTAGAATGTGTATTTGATTTTGAACAAGTAACGCTGTTCAAAATACGCTCTAGTCACATTGTTTAACAATTTTTTCCTGCATTTCACTCAGACTGACAGCACTTCATATGCTAGTTTATCAGAAAGTCCCATGGGGAGTGTAATTATGTGGATTTGGCCAGCGTATTCCTCTTTAAGATGAATATAAGATTAACAGATCAGGCTGAACAACAGATACATGCCGTCCTTCGGGCTGACCTTAGTGAAGGGCAGCCTTCCAGTTGACTGAGCTGGTGTGATTGTGGCTGAGGCCAGGCCGGATGGATACTGCACTGGGGACGGCTCCCTGGTGAAGGCAGCAGCAGCAGAGTGCTGTGCTAAAGCCAGTGAGCCAGTCCCTGGAGACAGACCCACTGCATGAACCCTCTCATTCCACTGCCCTTGTTTGTGACTGAGGACAGCTTTCGCTACAACACTACACACTTACAATAACCCAGATAACCCAATCACATAGTGCACATTACTGAGATACCAAAATATAGAGTCATATTTGGAACATTTCATTTGGTGTTAACCTGTAGATGCTTTGCAGATGCTCAGTTCGTCTTGAACTTAAGTATCTATTCAGTTCAACTCTTTTTGTGGTTATTGCCAGTGATAACGAAAGCAAAGTGCAATTTAATATTAAATATTTATCACTGAAACAAGCCAAGATAATCTTTATGCTTGTAAACATAGATGAGGGTATATTTGAATGTAAATTGAGTTTTATGAAAAGTTACTGTTGTGAACAAAAAATGCCAGAAGTGCAGACTACAAAAATATAAATGTAATAAAATGTGTAACAGTGGTGATAAAGTTATGATGTCATTACATTTGTGTCATATATCAAAATAAAACTAATAACTCTCAACATCTATGGCTTAACTTTTTCCTAACCCTAACATCTAAGCCTCTCTGATCCTAGTCTTAACCCTAACCCTTCCTAATCCTAACACCAACCCTAATGTTGTTGATAATCAACTTGCATTTTGCCAGTGTTTTTTTAGCAATTTCAGCAATTGTAGACAAGCCACAAGAGACAATCAAAATAAAATGTGATTACAAATTTTACTGTTGGGATTAAAGAATTGGATTATAAGTCATGTACTTGGCTTCAGTGACAGCTTGGATACTGTAAGGTTTGGTTTTGAGTATGTAAGTAGTAACGATGTGTCACAGTGCCCTGTGTAAGTCTTTGAAACTTGAGTTTCGCTAACTGATCCCTCTGTGCTTCCCGCAGGTCTGCAGGGCATGCCAGGGGACTACCTGTCTCACAGCGGCCCGATGGCCATGGGCATGGGCCAGCCGGCCTACGGCGGCCCCCAGCTCCCCCACCACTCCAGCCAGCTGCGGCCTGGGCCTCCCATGCGTTCCTACATTCCTGGACACCCCCAGCACTCAGCGATGTTGATGCATGGAGGACCGCCCCACCCTGCCATGCCCATGTCAGCCTCCAGCCCCCCCATGCTTCCCCCAGGAGACCCCACCATGGGCGGACAAGTCATGGACATCCACGCCCAGTAGTTTGCTACCAACGGATCCTCGAAACAGCCGCGCTCGAGACAGGGAACTGCGATTGGTTTGTTTCTGGTGCTTCACCCAGCAAATATTACATGCTGACTCGCTGCAGAAACTGAGGAGGCTCTTCATTCTTAAGCGCGGACTCGGTTTGAGAAAGAAGCCTGCGTCTGCACACCACGGGACACTTACAGAGGATGTGCCCTTTGCCAAGAATCAAACCAAGAGAAAGAGAAAGATTGAAATTATTACTATATCAGCTCCTAAGGGGGAGGGAGGAGGAGAATCTGTATACTGTTGTAAAATTACATTTGGACTCATATGAGAACTGGGAATTAAGTATTGTAAATGCTATCGTATTGTTCTGCATATTATGTTGTTTCTAATAGATTTTTTAAAAAAGGATGTGAACTTTTTTCTTTCCACACTATGTGTGTGCCATCTCCATAGACTTTTGACCTCCTCCCTAAATCACCTTGCGTTTAAAAAGAAAAAAAATATGTGAATAAATCAATAATTGGTTGAAGCGTTTATTTACTAGACCTTTTTCTTCTGCTGTGAGAGGGTGGCTTTATTTAGACAGATCGGGACATTTGAGAATAATAATAAATATTGCTCCAAAGTTTACAACAAACCAAGATTCAGAAGGCTTGTGACCAACAAACCAGCATGTCTTCCGTCATCTTAATTCACTGACTAGAGAAGACTGTAGACTGTCCAACTTAATATCCCAGCAAACAGGAGACCTACTAAGTCCTACTTACTGTTTATAAATTGGTTTTGAGGGATAATAGTTTAACATGTTCCTGTTGCTTGTTTGACTTTTGAGATTTTTTTTTTTTTTTTACAGATTAGGAGATTTTGTAAATTAATACATATTTTGGTGTACAAAGAGACTCTGTAAGGGCAAATTAGCTATGCTGAATATGCTGCTCAAAAGTTTTAGGCACCTGAGACAATATTAAAAAGTGGCTTATGTAAGCAGTGAGCATTTATTTGCTGTGAAAAACTCTAATGCTAGAATAAATACAAACAATATTAATACACTTAGTAGTGATTTTATGCATGTCAGTGTGTTTGTTTAACCATTTCCAAATCTTGGCAGACCAATAATATTTATAGTTATCATCCAGTAGGTGGTTTGGCTAATCAGTCCTCCATTAAATTAAATCAGGAGTGCTGCTGATGGAATTTAACAAATCTCTGCAGTGGCTGAGGGCGTTGAGGAGAAACCTGGAACCAAACCCGTGTTCTTCTTTCTGTGTAGCCCACAAGATATCAAGTACTTTTTTTGAAAACAAGACATTCTTGTTACTTTTTACTGTTTATTTCTATTTATTCTAATGTTGCATAGAGTTTTCAGTGGCAAAATCATGCTCACTGCTGAGATAAATGGTTTAAAACAATTTGCTTAGGTATGACTTTTGCACAGTGTGAGGCCAGGCTTCATTTAGTGTAGACTACAATTTAATTCTGCCAACACTGCATCTTCAGAAAAGGCGAAACTGAGGCTATAAAACATTTTATAAATATTTTATTTATTTCTTTTGTTTGTTTCAAAACCATTGTGTCTCTCATTAACTGTAATAAGAGGTGATAAGGCAAATGCAGGAGTGCAGTCATATAGTTAAACATGAAAAAACAATGTGGAGTGCCACTTGTTCGTTTATGGCTACGTAGCCATTTAGCTGTGTTTCAGGCCTGTAAAGTTAGCTTTTCGAGAGTGCTTTGCGTATGAGGTGCTTGACCAAATTACAAGGTGAGTGAAAACAGAGTATTTTACAGTTTCCTCAAAGCCGATATTAAAGCGAAGTCCCACAAATCAGCTTTAAAACGACGTCCACGCCAAACTAACGTTAACCGTCTCCATGGTGTCTGTGCACCTTCAGTGGCTAGCTGGCTAGCAGGCTAGCTACTTCACTCACTCACATCCCAAGGGCTGCATGAGGTGGGTGGACGGATAAAAGGGGGGAATTATCCCCCCGTTTAGCATTAAAATTCATTTAGATAAAATTGCCACAAACATTTAAATGAGAAGATTAGTTCCCCCTCACGCCTTACTGCCCACATTCAATGGCTCAGTAACGGCGGCTAAAACTGTGCATTATGAACGGGGCTGTTGTTGCCCGGATGTACTAACGTTAGCCTACTTCTCGCACAACAGCAGAGTTTCTCGGGGTAAAAAGCGTATTTAAGTTAAGCCAGCGCGTATAAAATGATTCAAAAAGAAGAAACAAAACATCCTCAGTTAACAACAGACTTAAAACTCGTAATAAATCAGTGGGCTTCTTTTCAACACCCGCTCCACTGCTGACGGCTAACAGTGGCTGCTGTGTGTACGAGGCTGAAGTTGGCTTCCTATTCGCCAGCGTCTTGTTCGAATTTCGCCGTTCCACCTTAAATGGGGCAGCCAGAATGTAACTGCTGAACCATTTAAGGTGGAACGGAGAATTCGAACAAGAAGCCGACTTCAGCTTCGTGTTGTAGGTGTTGTTTTTATGGCCTCTCTCTCTTTTTTCCTGAATGTTTTACTCCGCAGCACAAGCTCGACGTTTTAATCACAGCCGCTCTGTGTGTCCACAGTCTGGACTCGGAGCTCCTCAGATGTGAATTCCTGAGCCGCTCTCAGCTCGCTGCTCTGGAGACGGTCGAGATAAATCCCATGTTTGACTGCCATCTTTAGGGGATCTGGAAAACTGTCCTTCAGGGGGCTCGTTTAGCGCGTTTAACACGGAGAAAAAAGCGCGATTTAAATCACTGCTCGCGAAAAGAAAAATGTCTTTTTTTTTAAGCTCAAAAATTTAAAGCAGCTCGATGAATTAGTTTAATGCACCTCCGCGTGCTAATTAAGCGAGGCGGTGCTGTCTGGCTAATTAAATGTATAAGGAGAGCGCACTGTGTCCTCGCTGCTCCTGCGTGCTCATCTGGGTGAAAATGACTTTAGACTGCTTTAAGGCGTTTGGGAAAACAAACGCTGGTTCTGCTCCTCATCAGTGTCCATGTTAACTTTTTTTCGACGCACTTTTCTCTTTTTTATGGTCCCTGGAAAATCAACGCTGCCCTCAAGAAATAAAAAAAAACACCAGGCGCTGCCCACAACAAATAATCTTTGAAAATACTGAATCCGCCGCGTCCTCCGTCTGTAATAAAACGAGGCTACAACCGCGCTGACCACAGACTGACCTGTGAGCGATGAAACTGGAGAAAGAGGAGAGGAGAGAAATGAGGAATGAGACACACTCCGTAAGCGCAGAGGAGACTGAACAGGACTGAGAGCTTGTTTTTTTTTATTTTCAGCTCGGTTTGTGAGGCTGTTTCTGCTTTTTCGTGATAGAGATTAGACTAAACTAACGCTTAATAATAATAACCGCGCTGCCTTCACAGAGACGTGCGCGTTAGAAAAGGTTTTCGAGCGTGTGAGCGCGTCTAAGTGGAGCAATGTTGCTGAATCGTTTATTGTTGATAATTAAAAGAACAACAACATTACTAATAAACTTATTATTGCTGTAATAATAATAACAATTCTTATTATTTTTGTAGTTGTTGTTATTATCATTAGATTATTATTAGTAGTAATAATAGTAGCTCATTATTATCATTAGTAGTAGACTATTATTACAATTATTATTATAGTAGTAATAATAGTAGTATTAATTACAGTATTCCAGTTTACATTCGTTCTCATTGCATTGCACTCTTAAAATTCATATTAGTCAACTCTGTATTATTTTTAAAGTTTATTATTATTATTATTATTTACATATGATTAAAGGAAGCACGAGAGCTTATGCATTAAATAATAATGCTATTGATATTGTAAAAAATAGTGCTTTAAGGCGTTTTATAATTATTATTTTCAGTTTAGAGAGATTCAAATGTAGTTAAATTCATAATAATTAAATGCAGGCTTGTTTGCTGATGGTCCTCCTTCACACACTGTCCACGCTGCCCTTCTGGCACAGGAGCCCCAGGCTACACGGGCCGGTTAGAGCGAATTCAACCAAATTAGTGCTGAAATACAAAGGCTAACCACAGCAGCCCGTGAGGAGAAGCCTGGACGCGCACACGTGTACCAAACCACAGACACCAAAACAAAACTTTGCAGGCTATTTTAAGCGAGTTTAATCACCCTGAATGATGTGGCCCAGTCTTAATACATTAGAGTGAACGCCGTGAGAGAGAAATCAGAGTGGAGTCTTTTTCTCCTGTGATTATTTTGCTCGGTGAGGATGAGTGCAGGGCTGTCAGCCCCCCTGGCTTGGCTGGGGAGAGTACCCACCATCCCCTGCGCCTCCATTTATCACTGTCACCACACAATGATGCCCCTCGCAGCTCCTTATTGATGTTTGTAATTGCATTAGCTCATAAGGGAGGTGATCAATGAGAGCAGGCTGCGGGGCCAGCGCCGCAACACAGGCTGGATTTTTACTGGAAATAATAGAGGTTTAATCTGCGAGAGAGAGAGAGAGAGAGAGAGAGAGAGAGAGAGAGTTGAAGAACTAATAGGCTGCTGTGTGAGCCCTTACAGAAAGAAATCACACAGAAATATACGAGGCTGAAGTAGGCTTCTCGTTCGAATTTTCCCGTTCCACCTTAAATGGTGCAGCAGCTACATTCTAGCGCCTGCTGCACCATTTAAGGTGGAACGGGAAAATTCGAATAAGAAGCTGGACACACATGATGCACTTTTTATTTGTCCTGTGTAGCCGGCTATTTTTCCTTTTTTCATTCATTTACAATTTTAATACGTGATCACACGTCGTCCGCGTGACGTCACGCGTTTACTTGTGTGAACGCGTTTTTTAGATAGTTCATATGTGGGTTATGAGTTTTTTTTTTACTTGGTATTTTACTTGATATGCTTGTTTATCATTTTCTAATGCTTTTAAAATCTTATTTCTGGTCACTCATTTTATTCGACGTCATGAGATCTTTAATAAAGAAACTGGGGGGGGGGTGGAGGTTGGTGACGTCTTTGGTCCATATTAAGGTCTTTTTCTTGGCATTTTGACAGCTGACGGAGATGATCAGAAGTGACCACACTTTGTGTTCATTCTAGGTGAGACCTGCGCGTGCTGCACAGGTACTCGGTACAGGACAGTAAACTCACTGAGGTGTAGCATAAATGTGTTACAGTCCGTCACTGTTTGTGGCGTAAAGGGGAAGTCCACCAGTCTATCGAAATTTCAATATGTGAGAGAGAACAAGGTCATTCAGAGTGGTTTGTTTTTCTTTACAGTGGTGGTGATGATGGGAACCAGGATTCACGATGTTTACAACGCTACAAAGCTTTATATATAATGATAATGATGATTAGATTGTGGTAAATCTGATTCATGACCTGTTCACGTAATAACTTTCTGTGAGGGGGCTTTTAGAGGTGGACGTCTGGTTCCTGTCACCACCACTGTGAACAACTGTGACTCTGTAATTTTCACTGGAGGGAGCATTTCACACCAAAGATTTGTGTACAAATTTGGGAAAAATCGATGGAATTCTCCTTTAAATGATCTGTTATAGAAACACCTGAT